AACAAACAAACACTCTTGGATCACAAGCAGGCATGGATATATATATCATCCAAAGAAAATGGAAAAAAATTATAGAATGATTTAACGAAGTTAAAATATATTCTGACAAAAGAAACTTTTGGTTTCATAATGCTTCATTAGACGAAATAATAGAAAACATATAGACTATTCCAAGATACGTTTAAACAGTAACCAAAACCACAGTGTGCATCTGAATGTTATAAACAAACAACAAAAGCTAAAGCATTCAGTTAATGAATTTTCCTTGGGCCGTGGGCGTGAACACTTTGTGTGCACAGCTTACAAAAGGTTTTTTTTTGTAAGTTTTATTTTGTGGGTATTGCTTAGTTCCATGAAGTCTTGTGCTTAAATCTGTAAGTTTTTCGAATCGCAGACACGATACTCTACGCAAAGTAATATCGTAACTAATATTATGAAAGTGAAGAAAACTGGATAAATCTAACTTATCATTAATAAACCTCATTTAACGATTGAGTAACTGATAAAAACAAAAATAAATGACACTAAAATTAAAATACTGCAGAGAAAATAAAGAAAGCGCGGCTGCGAGCAAAGCGTTTCAACATTACTTTTTTGTGTCTGAAATGACATCAATATTTTAGTGAGCCACAAACAACTTTTTTTTTTTTACAGCCTACGCAAGTTTTTCCATCCTTATGTCTTCAAGGATCCTTCGTAGCTCGTGAAGTAATATTTATTGCCGTCCACTGCCACATTCCCGAGTCGAAAACCACAACTGTCAACAGCCATTCTTGGCTTGCTAAACGGCTAACTGTTAACAGGTGCGAATGAAGATGATGCTCCACAAATTTTCTCTGTAAGCCCATTAGCGTCAACCTGAAATTAAAGGCACTGCTAGAAAGCCTGATTTGTGGGCTGTTTAGCAAAGACTCGACATAACTGTTCTGGTATACTTCACCGTTAAGTGCCAAATATTTCCCAAGAAACCATCTCCAAAGGCGGGTTCCGGATCCCAGGGCAGAGCTAGAAGGTTGTAACATCACTAGAAAAACACTTATAAGTGCCTGTCGTAAGCTTTCAGAAGGACAAAGCAAGTCCATCCAGCTGATTCAAGACTTCGTAGTTTAGGTCGTCACATGAAATATACAGCACAGCGAAAGTCATATGTTACAATTTTCTGCTGAGTAACCTATTTCTATTGTGGGATATGCATGTGTGTATTTTATGGTTGACTCTACGGCACCGCATAGATCACGGCCTTCTTTAACAACAAATTTTCCTTATTTTCAGAACAAGAAGCCTTTCTCAAAGTTTCTATTGCAATTTTAATTTTTATTTATTTTTTGTTTTTGCTCAGTGGGTCTAAAAGGAATGTTGTCATGGAAGCCTTTTTAAAAGAAATTAAAAAACAATATTTTAAGCTTTGAAAAACAAAATACAAATCTGATAATACACAGTTAATTTTGTTTTCGTCATTACCTTCTCTGGTTGACGAGAAGACATCGCTAGACTATACATACAGTTTTAATATTTAAAAACTGTATATATGTAAAATGTCTACGATACTTCATCTACTATTGACTGACTATCTATTTCTTTTTTAAATAATGTATCTAAAAGTTCAATGTATTAGATTACAGCGAATAGCATTCTTTATGCGTTGTTCAAATGTATACATAAGAGCATTATCACTAAAACACGTCTTGACTTACTCTTGCGAAATGCGCTTTGTTTCAGACGATTACAGGACTAGAAATGTTATACTTCCATATCCAAAGTTCGGT